TCGAAATTCGATAGAGGCAGGATTGTTGCCTATCAAAAGTGCAGAGTATTGTTCCATGATATTGCTGGTCACACTGGTCGACATCCAACCACTGTCATGTGAATAAGGAATTGATGGCTTGCTGAGAGTCATACGGAACGGCATGCAGGATCTCGACGCCCTCCCATCACTAACAGTAGAGAGGACAGACATATTGTGAGGTCGGCCCTGCAAAACTGTACGACCACATCACAGCCCAGTCAGGAAATGGGCATGTTTGTAGCAAGCTCTGATTCAGTTCGTAAGGTGCGTCGACGTTTGCAGCAGGGTGACCATTTCTTTGGCTTCCTTTGACAATGCAAGCATAAAGACAAATGGCGATCCTGGTACACGAGATGACAAAGCTGGGTACAGGAGTGGCACAATGTCGCCTTTGTAAACAAGTCTCGATTCTACGTGCCGGTTCTGATGGTCGTATACGTGTCTGGAGTGTCCGAGGAGACTGCACGACACCTGCTTGCATTTGATATCGGCATTAGGGGCTCTGCACCTGGTGTGATGGTTTGGGCAGCCATTACACCAGGTGGGTACACGACACGCACATCTCTAGTTCGGATCGCGGGTAATTTGAACGCAGATGGGTACATTTCTGACATTTTATGTCCAGTGGTTGTGCCCTACCTCCGAGGCCTGCCAAACTCTATGTTCCAACAAGATAATGCAAGACCACATATTGCACGTCGTGTCCTGACCTTCCTCTATATACAGGGCATGAAGCAGCATGGAATGAGTTGCCAATTTCTGTCATCCAAGCCCAGTTTAACTCCATGCCTAATGGGGTAAGGGCCATTTTAGTTGCCAGAGGTGGCAGCTGTTTCTACTAATTTTGCACCCCTGCAAACCTCCAAAATGCTTACAAATTTAATCATTTTGTTTTCATGCCATACTGTTTACATGCAACAAATATCTTTTTTGCATCTGCTTCCCTTCATAGTGTTGCAATTTTAATGGCCAGCAGTGTACTTAAGCATATGCTATTTAAATCCTAACTTTTAACATATAAAGAAAATTTTCATGTGCACAGTTCCCATTACTTTAGAGCCTGTTAGCTCAGTAGGTCAGAGTGTTGTGTGCACGGTTAAAATATAAAATTCAAGACAAAATATGAAATTACATATAATGATTGCACATTAAAATTATTTCTGTTCATTTATAAAGCAAGAAATTTAACTGATTAATACAAATTACATACTGTAACCACACTTATGTACAAAAGTTAAAAGCATTTTCGCAGTGTGAAATATCTCGAAACCCTGGACAATGTGCTCATCAGCATTGTGTATTTTACATTCATTGAGAACAGTAGTAAAAACAATATTGCTAACAAAAAGATTAATGTTTGAAATGATTCCACTGAATTTAGGTTTCATGGCATTCTAACACTTTTTATTTTTTAATTAAAATAAAACATTGAGTTTGAGCATATCAAGCATAAAAGGGTATGTCAAATAGTTAACTCTTTGCTTGATGCACTAAAAGTGAGGTGTTTAATTTGATTACATTAGCCCATGCATGTTTTATTAATACAAAATGATGAGAAAAATATCTTTCACAAATCTCAATCCAGTTTTATTATTTTTAATGAAGTATAAAATGAAGTTACAAATACAGATATTTGTTGAATTTTAATTAGAAGGGGAATAAAGATTTTGAGTCAGACTGCTTGCAGTTCTTATGTTAATGCTTTTTCTCAGTTTGTCATCATTCATATTTCTTACAACTAATACTAGAAAATGATGTTGCATATTTTAAATTTTTTCATTTCCATCACTAAAGAGGTGTTATGCTGAAAATTGCCCATTATTTGGTATTCTAAAATTTCTTTTCAGTACATATATTCAGTAAATTCACTATCGAGAATTAGTTTTTCATGGTACCTCATGAACACTTATGTTAATATTTTACTTATTTCAAATGATTCTGCTTATTTCATAACGATCATATCTTTTTGTAGTTTTAATAATTAATTCATGTTATGACAAATGGATGTGCTATTTACACTACCTATTTATCATGTAAAAATCCTTTTGTAGTTTTATCTTCTACACAGTTACAAAAGAACATATTTCTGGAATACCTGGGGGGCAGAGGTTCTTTGCAAAAAACTTGTGGTATTATCATTTGAAAATATCATTTCTTTTTGTTTTGATCATTGAAAAAGAAACTGCTGTTTCACTTGAAATTGGGTGCGATAGTAGTTCGACTGTGGAGTTTGGCAGAGTGCTCTGAGTTTAAAGAAGTAGCAAGAAAACTATATGCCTTAATAGGTGAGACCAACAAATAAATTTGAAGCCGCATATATAAAATAAGACTATATTTTACGATCTTTTAGGCCCTCTACATCACTTTAGATTCAATAATCTGTTTATGTAATTACTTAACATCTGCTAACCAACTGGCACAGCGGTTAGTGTTGCTGACTGCTGTGCCGACAGGCCTCGGTTTGAATCCTAGAGAAGGCATGGGTGTTTGTAAATGTATAGTGTCCTTGCAGCATGGAGGCACTTTAAATATGCAGTGAGCTGAAAGTCCTCTTCAGTGTTCGATGGTAGAGGAACGAGACCCTTGGACCCACCCCCAGGGTGTTCCCCATCAAAATTGGGTGCAGAACTGAGTTAAATCACACCGTCACATGCAAGGTGGTCAAGGCTGTTGCCAAAGGCCAGGCGTATCTTTTGCTCCTTGCCATGAGGGGTTTTGTGGGCTTGTCCTGTTTATAGGTTAGATAAGTGAGCATTAGTCAACATCATCTTACACACTGAAAATTTGAATTTCTGCTGTTATTATTATTTACTAACTTATTTGTTTATCCCCTCTGCGTGCATTTTCAGTTTCTTAACTGAGGTATTTTTGCTTTCTTCTGTGTTTCAATGCTCTGGCGAGTATTTTTAAAAATTTTCTAGTTTAGAAGCATGAGTATTTGAAATAGTGTGTGCCTGCTTTGCTTTATATATAAGTATATATACATACAGGTTGTCCCATCTAGACTGCCTAAACTCCATACAGCCAGATTAACCAATTGGAATACTTAAAAAATTCCGAAAGAATGTGATTCCTTTGTGACCCGTGGTTTTTAAGATAAGCGTAAAAGTATGACATATCTCTTCACATCATCTGTGGTTCTAGTATGATATAGCTTTGGTGCATTTTAGTGCTTCTGTATGTGATTGGCTGGATTTGAAATACCCAAACTGTTGGATTGAATGTGGAGAAAGTGACTTAATGGTTGCTCTTCATGCTGCGTGTACTTTGATGGACACTATGCTGCTGTAACAAAAGCAGTCAGCCATTCCAAGCCACACATGCATGCCTGGATATGTGGGTCCTTGGATATGCAGGTGGACTTCCTATGTAAACATACGCAAATACTGATGTTCATGTTTCCACTAATTTTTTTCTCTCTTGTACCAGGCATGACGTCATACTTTTCTCGAAAATGTCATACTTGAAAAGTATGGGTTATAGTATAGGCATAGTTCTTTGAGCATTTTTGATGTATTCCAAACAAGGAACCTGGCTGTGCAGGGTTGGGCAGGATGGGACACCTTGTGTATATTACTGTTTATTATGTTTGTTTTTATAAAAATAGCCTTAAATTAACATGCATAAAAGCAAAAGTGTCGGGGGGGACATTTACTCAAGTATCTTATAAATTTCACTACATAAATTGGCTATTCACTCAAAATTTCTAAAGAATCTTGTAGTAGCAAAAATGCTTCATTCAGAATGAGCTCTTTGATACTCTACTTTGGCTATAATCCCATCACTTCACGGAACTACAATTTTGGCCTAACTTAATTTGCCAGTTTGGCATCATCCGTCTTACTTGAGTAAAAGACTAAACACCTTCGCATTTATTAATTATTATTCATTGAATGGGAGTTGGTTTGTTCCCCTTGAAAAGTCAACTAATTTCTGATCAATAGTGATAATTACTTATTCTTTTTTTAATTTTTTTTTTTTTCCAAAGTTTTGAAATTTTGTTATTCAGTTTAAATTCAACTCCCCTTAAAAGTTTTTTTTTTTTTTTTTTCAGGATTTACATTCAGATTCCTTTAAAACATAGTTTTTGGAATTAACCACTTGCGCTACAATTAAACTTCACGGTTGCGGTGCCGTGTGCTACTATATAACAAGCGGTCAAGTGTCTCATTTACGCCGCTCTGCGTCTTCTAGTGCAATCCAGAGCTGTAACTCAAGAAATAAACTGTTTGAAATTAATCATTTCTTGACTTATTTAATAACTTTGGACGAATGGTAATATATTTTGCAGAGAAAACCTTTTTAATTAACAATGAACTTATTTATTTAGCATTCTAAACCTTACAAAAGAATAACATTCCGTGAGTTATCAAGCTCAAAGCAATATATAAAAAACATAACTTGCCACAAAAAATTTACATTATAATGCCACAAAAAATCCACATTATTAAATTATTGTGTATTAACCGAGTTCGTGCACGTTCCTAAACATAAACAATCTCGTTGTTAGGCAATGTGTGCACCAGGTTATTTTCATTTTTGTGATAAATGCCTATCAACGTAGTGCTCACGTCACTCGCGGTTTGAGACAAAAGCGTCTCGACGCGCGTGGCACGTCTTTTTAGCGCAAGTGATTAAACTTTCTACATGCGAGTTCCCTCTTTTTGATAGATTCTACTAAATTTATATTAGGAGGTAATATAATCAATATTTCTTTAAATAAATTAATATCTTGCTTTCCAGCTATTGTGCAAGTATTAGAATAACTTGTTTTCGAATTCAGTGAATTTTAGATCATTCTGTATATTGTGTATATATATATAATAGTATTTTTGTTTTGTTTATATTTTGTGTAGCAAAAATATGTGAATTTATTATATGACTCTTGATATTTGTATATAAATCTAATTTATAATCATCATGCACACTTATGGGTGTAGATATATCAATTTTATATTGTTTCCATTGTTTCCTTGCAGCCTAAAACACAGAAGGAGGCTTTGTCAATTATGTTGCAGGTGGGCCTTGCAATGGCAATAGCTGAAGAAGCACTTCTATTTGAACATCGAGATTTACATTCAGAAAACATACTAGTCAAAAAAACCGATGAATCTTTGAGCTACTTTATTCTGAGAGATTATCCGATTGTTGTGCCAAACTTAGGCTGGGAAGTGACTATCATAGACTTTTCACTTTCAAAAGTTGTATTTAATGGTAAGTATATGATGCTTTTTTAATTTGTTGAAAATGCCAGTGCATTTTCTTGACTGAGCAAATTGTAAAATTGGTGTATAAAATTGAACCACTTAACTGTTACATTTCTTTCCCGAATACAATCCCAAAATTGTTAAATTTTTTTAAATGCAGTTCCCCCCCCTTGTTTTATTTTTTGTTTGTTTGTTTATTTTACACTTGTAAGTAGGGAAAAGTTAAAACATTCGTAATATTTTTAAGCATTTAGGACAACTTTTTTACAGGGAAGTGGTTAATTAAGTGTGTTCTTGTGAAATACTTTTGTATGCCTTTTAGTTTTGGAATATTTTTTATATGTAATGCGGTTTCATCATAGTAATTTGTAGGTATTATCAAACAGATTTTAGAATCAGAATTTCTAATTTGAATATATGTTACAAAATAGGGCTTCATAAATCTGACATTCTTAGGATCTGGCAGTTTTTAATCTGCAGAAGAAAGTGACCTCTAAAGTAGTTTTTTGTGTACCAATAAATAAACGCCTCAGCCTTTGGCTTAGTCTGTCCACATACATATTGTTATGGTATTAATAGCTAATTGTCAAAGTTTTATAGCTTTAATGTTCATGGGGAAAATAAAACGCTTTTTTCTAGTCTTAGTACTCAGACAGTGTCTGTAGACATTCATTTGCTTAATGCTTTCTGTAACTAATGTATATACAAAAGTGATTTGCACTTGTGCTTGCTTAGTGCAAAATCCATCTGAAGTGTTCATGGTACCTCTTGACATGTCAAAGGTCACTGGTATAAATAAATATTAGAAATTAACCTGCCTGTAGAATGAAAATCCTTGGTTACTGTGTAAAAGATTTTAAATTCAGAATCTTTAACAGGTAATAAATGCACAAAGTAACGATGACAGATTCAAAGCATGCCAAATCATGAGTGTTCCCAGACGACTCAGTTTGGATGAATAAAGTTCAAAAGGTACTATCCTAAAAATCATGAATCAGATAAATAATTCTCAGGCATTTTTGTTGAATGAAATAAAAATAAGTAAAAGTATTGTGTAGTGATGAAAATGTTTTTAAGTGATAGAAGCAAAATTGTCATGGCAGTTTTTTTATTTTTTGCAAGTACCTCCAAATATCTAATACTTAATCCAAATATATATTTAAAGGCATCTGTTGGATTGTGCAAATATATTTTAAAGCATTTTTTAACATATGCTTGAGATCAAACTGTGTCTTTAATCTCAAACGTAACCATTTGTTTGTTTTCACTACTCTTCTGCTATTTACATCTTTGCATTTTGAGTTACTGAGACCTAAACACCTGGCAATACAGCAACTGAATCTACTGTCTGCATTCAGTGCTCTAAATAGCCTCTTTTAAGCCCACTGTGTTGTTTGTATGTTGCTTTGACCTGCTACTAAAGCATCCCTACAATTAAATGTTGATGTAAGAAGTGTATTATTGATCGAACCAGGACACTCTTATTTTAAAAGTGAACAAGGTTGTTTTTTCACTCAAATTTTAACCAAAAAAAAAAAAAAAAAAAACAATAATAATAAATAAACTAATGAAATAATATGACCCCCTGAAAACGGGAATCATAATTTATTACATTTTCTAAAAATATTTTAGGATCATATGTTGATCCTAAAACAGATTCCACAGGGGGAATATTTCATACCCCCTTTTCATCCTGAATTTTCTAAAGATACTTCAAATTTTTTAAAAATTAATTTTGAATAGAAATCATGAAAAAAGTAGGTAAAATTTTTAAAATATAAAAATAAAGGGGACTTTTATTTTAAAAGTAAATGAGGTTCACTCAATTTCAACAAAAGCATGGTCGTAATTTATTATATATTCTGACAATTTCCTAAAAATTATCCTGAAAATATATAAAAAATTGAAACAAATCCATTTCCCCCCCCCTGAAAAAATATAAATAAATTAGAAAAATTGAAAGAAATCCAGCCCACCTTGAAAAATATATAAAAAAAATATTCTTTTATCACATATAATTTCTATTAAGAGATGCACATATGTGTTCTAATAATTTAATAATTCTCTCAAAATGTTTTTTAGTAAGATTTCAGATAAATGTTTATATAATTCAGGATTATTCCAATCAACTTTATCTTCATGTTTATGTATAAAGTTTTCACTCAGAGTTTGATATTTCATAATTCTTTGATAATATTTTCTGATAATATTATTCTACTGATATTCTGATGTTATCCCAATTTTCCTTATCTTCTTTATCTAAAGTAAATTTTTCAAATAATTTTTGATATCTGGATATTATATCCCATTTGATTTCATTTTCATGCATAATCATAAATGGTTCTGATAATATTTGATAGGCTGATATATTAACTCAATCTACCTTATGTCTGTCTGCTGATGAAAGGTTCTGATAATTTTTGATGTCTTGGTATCAGTTCCCAATTGACATGGCTTTCAAAATTTCTAATTAAGTGTTTGCTTAATTTTTATGTTTTAGAGAGTTTACCCCAGTTAATATCCATTTATTAGGGGTAAAAATTCTTTGGCTATTTTAAAGTAGTTGCAAAGTCCCGTTCTCGTTGATAAACTTCTGTAATTGATTTGGATAATTTTAATAACTGTTTGTAAATAACGTAACATTGTTTGGTTTATTCCTAAGAAAATTATATGCGGTAAGATTTTCTAACATTAAAATAATAAGAGCACAAAATATTAGAAAAACCAATTTCAATCCTCCAACAAAAACATCCTTGGGATATCCCAGGATGTTGCTCGCGGGATATGCGCACATCCTCAGGACATCCCGGAATATCCCGCGAACCTCCTAAACACCTCCTCCCGAGTGCTTAATGTCACATCCCGGGATATCCTCAGGACATCCTAACCAAGTCCCATCGACAGCGTGCGGGATGTTATTAGGATATGAACTCCTACTTACTACATCCTCAGGACATCCCGGGATATCCCACAAACCTCCTAAGCACATCCCATTATATCCTAAAAACATCCTATCTATGTCCCATCGACAGCATATGGGATGTTATTAGGATTTAAAGTCCTACTTACTACATCCTCAGGACATCCCGTAATATCCCAATTTCCTCCTAAACTCATCCTCCTGAGCGCTTAATGTCACATCCCAGTATATCCTTAGGACATCCTATCTACGTCCCACCGACAGCGTATGGGATGTTATCAGGATTTGAAACACTAGTTACAATATCCCTTTAACCTCTTAAATACATACTCTCAACTGCTTAGTGTCACATCCCAGTATATATACAGAGGAAAATTCCAGTGAAAGTATGTGAAGGTGTGATGATCTAAAACCTACTTTTTTTACACAGATAGTCTCAAATCGTTCTCCTATGGTTACTATGGAAAAATCAGAAATGTTGAAAATATTTATACAACTTATTTTGTTTTTAAATCTGAATTTGTGAATATATTAAAACTGAGCAAGGAAATTAAAATGAATTATTAATACAAAATATTAAAACTGAAAATTTTGCTTTTATTTTTAAGATATTAAAAATCTTTTGATCATTTTTAAACATCCAATAGCCCCCAAATTGAATTATTCATAATTAAATTATTTTACAAAATCAGTTTCTAATTTCAGTTAATTTGTATTAAAAATTGAATAATAAAATTACCCATTTAATAATCTTTACATAAATGAATCATCTTTCTTTAAAACATGTAAGGAATTTATAGTGTTTTGATGACACTGTTGGGAAATTGTTAAAAGGAATAAATTGTATTTTTAAAACTAAATCAATTCCTAGCCTCAGAATAAATAAATATGTTTTCGTAACATGAGAATGCTGCAGGCTTTTTTATATATTTAATATTTAGTTGTAAAAATTATGTTAACAATTCTTAACAATTTCATTCATCATTTCAAAAGGTAACTCAAGAAGCTCTTCTAAAATTCTATCTTTCTGCTCACACAATTAAAAAAAAAAAATCTGAAAGGCCTCAGATTTTAGCAGTCACTCAAAGAGGCTAAAAGTTTATGAATGCATAGATTATCAATACAGATGGGGCAGTGGAAATAGCAAAACATTTTATAAGATACTGACACCAGAAAGTTATATATCTTCTATATATTTGAAAAATGAAGAAATATATCATGTAATTATGTAGAAATATTAAAATGTTTTCAATTAGATATATCATGAATTAAATGCATTTTAAATCAATCAGATTAAAAATTAAAAAAAGCATTGTTAAGAACTGTGTGTAATGCTTTTAAATAGCTTGGCTTGTTAGTCAATAATATATTAGATTTTAAAGGTAAATATGTTAAATTTTGCCAAATGGCAAGACTTGAATGAAAAGCGAAACAAGTTTACGACTGACGATATGAAGTCACATTTCAAAACTAATAGCCCTTTTAGATTAAAAAAAAAAGTTCTGAAAATAATTTGCAATGGTTCATTGGTATTATTTTACGCAAAATTCAGTAAAATGAAATTTACCCGTTGAAATCAGCACCAAATTAAACTTTGTAAATTCTAGCGCATGTTAAAGGTTGTCTCATCCAGAATTTTATTACTAACCATTCATTTCAGAGCAAAATAAAACAGTAATTGCCATTTATATGACAATCAATATCAAAAATTTAAATCTGCATTTTACGCAACATAGAAAAACTTCAAAAGATCTACTGTTTACCATGCAATTAAGGCATTTTATTCTGCTATCAACTCTACCAATTATTAATTCCATTAAGTATATTCAGTTTACTCTTTCTGCTCAATATATGCAATGTAAAATTTTCCATAAATTTATTAATTCATTTTATTTTGAGGTGAGCTTTTATTCAACTCTCAATGTCAATGAGAATGTTTAGTTCATTTTTTATTCGGTCTCAAAAGAGAAATCAAAATACGTGGATTTATTTATGTATGTGTATTTATGAATCAAAATACATGAGAAATCACAGTGAGAAAAGCACCGCTACCTTAAATTGTGATTATATATAACAAATGCAGTGAATTATAGTTAAAAAATAGTGAAAATATTTATATTTCTGAACTATTTCATATATAACATTTTCAGTTTCGCATATGTGGCAATTTAAGAACTTTTTTACGTATACCAATTTTTTGAAATATCTGCAAATTTTTGTATCTTTCAAGGAAAGCTTATTCTTTCACCTTTAGTATATAAGTAATGGTAATTTACCAGATAAAATTACTTAATGGGGAATACAGAAAAATATCTAACCACTTACTTACCTTTGTGACTTCATCTGCAAAGAGACTAAAAAAGTAGTTCAGCTGAATCTGCTTATAATAAATATTTATAATAATGCTAAATTATGCAATATCTATTAATATGACAAATTTTTGTAAAGCTATTTATTTGGATGAAAAATAAACACATTCAGAAATTTATGGCACTATATTATGATTAACAGAGGAAAAACACTTTTCAAAATTCAAAATAGTTTTTATTAATCCAATTTATCACATTTTATTTGAATTCATGAAAAACAATCTTATATCCATGTATTGTATTCTATGTATATAAGAACTCTTGATAAATTGGATCTCTGTCATTGCCTTTCACAGCACCTAAAATAAAAAAACACTCACAATTACTATATGTGAATATAATTCATAATTAAATTTAAACAAATGACTATTAGAATGCAAATTAAAGGAAGCATTTAAAATATTTTAACATTTAGTACCTATAAACAGAGTAGCAATTATTTGATTTTTCGATTATAGTAAAATAAACATGGGGGATGCCTTTTAAAATTTTTTATGTCAGAAAATAAACTCAAACCACCAGCTGAACATATGAGCAGTTTTATCAATCAGCCACTGGTAGGTAACCTGGATACTGAATCAACATATAAAGTTGCCAAGATAAAGAGAGAAACAAAATTATGATAATCACATCTTACCTATTCATAAAACTATTTTAAATTTAATGTGTAGGCAAGTCCAAAAAGAGTGAGAATGAATTTATTTTGCAACACAAAGTA